TGCACCTCCTCCTCCTCCTCCTCCTCCTCGACCTCCTCTTCCTCCTCCATCCTACCTCTCCCTCCTCCGCCTCCTCCTCCTTCTCCTCGGCCTCCTCCTCCCCCCCCTCCTCCTCCATAGTTCTCCTCGTGCACATGCAGTAAGAAGGAGGGGAAAGCAGATTGGGTGCCCGCCTGCCCCCCCAGGAGGGCGGAGAAGGTGAAGTCACTCGATCATGGAAGCAGGAAGGCGCCCCAGAGTAGAAGACTGGAATCTGGGACTCCAAAAAACAAGTTCTTTCAACGACCGATGGGTACAGTCGGGCCCTTGACCTAAGGAGCCCTAAATAAGGAACGAGGCCCCTTCTATCCACAAGTTGAACCTCGATTCCCCATCGAAAACCAAAGGAAAACCCGAGGCAAACTGTGAAGCAATCAAGGAACACGGAGCCCCTCCCCAACGAAAAGGCTTCCTTCTTCAGGGCCCCGACTGTACACCCCCCAGCAGGACATGTGCGGGGACCTGGGACCTCCTGGGGCGGTCTGGCAAGCGGGGAAGGGCAGCCTCGCCGCAGCCTGCGCCCCCCTGCGGGGGACCCCGGCTGGCCCTGGGGCACCACGCCGTCCAGCGCTGCCCCCCAGACTTCCCACACGCCGCGCGCCTTGCGAAGGAGCTCGTCTTTCGGGACTCGCGATCCCGCCCGCGATCGGCCCCGCCACCCCCTCCCTGCCCCCCTCCCGTGGTCACGGCACGACTCGCGCTGGCGCTGTCCAGGCATCAGCTATACTCCTGAGCATTCCCATGACGGCGCCGGGCGCGGACCGTGACGCGGCCGGCCCCCTCCTCCCCCCCTCCCCCTCCCCCTCCTCCTCCTCCTCCTCCTCCTCCTCCTCCTCCTCCTCCTCCTCCTCCTCCTCCTCCTCCTCCTCCTCCTCCCCCGGCCGCGCCCGTTGTTGCCGGGAGAACTCTCGGCCTCTTCCCCGGGACCGGCTTTGAACCGCGGAGAGCGCGTACCTCTTGTTTCAGAGAAGCGCCCCCCGCCCGCTCGCTCGTGAGAGTACACCCTGCGAAATGCTTAAGAAATCATGGGTTAAGAAATTCATAGTCTCAGAACTTGAATAAAAACCAAACATTTCTATTGAAATCTTGAGATTTACATTGAAACGTTAAGAATAATCGAGACTCTGGACGAAAACTTAGGGTTTCTTAAGCATCGCCTAGGGTGTATACTGCGCCTCCCGCCCGCGCTTGCACGACGAAGCAAGGACGGGGATCAGATCGGACGGGGACGAGTCCGGGACCTCTGAGATCTGGAGGTTCCCCAGACCCCCTCGCGTTGTGAAAAAATCACGAGAAGGGAGGTTTTTCGCTATGTTTGGCCTCTGGGGGCCCTCACCGGGCCTGAAAACCGTCAACAAACGACTCAGGGTCAGAAACCGGTCCTGGAGAAGTAATCCGGAACTCTGGGGGTCGAGGTCGTGAAGAAATCACGACGTCGGGGGTCCGGACCTGGAGGATATATATCGGGCGCCACAGCCCTTCCAGAGCGCTCTGAGAACGCTCCGCAATGGCCTGTAAAAGTTGCACTGCTTTCTTAGAGGGTGCCAGCAGCGGGCAGGTCGCGTCAAAAAATCGTCGAAGGGACTCCCCTTGGGGTAGCTAGTTGTTCATCCTGGATCCGTTTCTGGCAGTACTGGGGCCTGGAAACGGTCCCCCAAGGTCAAGAACGACGAAGAGCCGACGGCGACGAAAACACAGCCATCGACGAGCAAAGTTGCTTGACATTTCCACAGCAGCGTAGCGACTACATTACCCAAATTTCCACCCCCGACCCGATCTATTCGAGCCCCATTTGGGAGGCCTCCAACATATGCGTCGCCAGCAGTGTGCGCTGCGAGCGACTTTAGAATCCGCACTTGCGCGTCATTTCACAGCGCGAGCGTGGGGGCGCAGCGATACATCGCCGATGCATCGGCGATGCATCGGCGATGCACTGGCGACGCACCGGCGACGCACCGGCGACGCATCGGCCACGCCGGAGTGGAGAAAATCAGGCTCCACATCGAGCCCCATCGCCGATGCGTCGGCGATGCGGCGAGGTACTCTTATGTGGGAGGCCTGGATCTGTGCCCCGATGATGATGATGATGACGATGATGATGAAGATGATGATAATGATGATGCTGATGATGATGATCATGACGATCATGATGAGGATGATGATGATGATGATGAGGATGATGAGGATGATGATGACGACGATCATGATGATAATGGTGATAATGAGGATGATGATCATAATGATGATGCATCGAATGAGCACGATGATGATTCTGAACATGATGATGATGGGTATGCTTCATGATTATGATGATGGTGATGATGATGATGATGACGAATGGTGGTGACGATGATAAAGATGAGGATGATGATGATGATGATGATGATGATGAGGATGATTCTGATGATGATAATGGCCATGATGACGATGATGATGATGCTGCTGCTGATGATGATGAAGACAATGCTGATGACGATAATGATTAGTAGTACGACTATGATGATGATGATGGTGGTGGTGCTGCTGTTGCTTCTGATGATGCTACTGATGATTATGATGACTATGATGCTGATGATGCGTATGGTACGTATAATGAGTATGATGAGTAGAATGATGACGATGGTGACGATGGTGACGATGGTGATGACGACGATGATGATGATGATGATGATGATGATGATGATGATGATGATGATGATGATGATGATGCTGATGCTGATGCTGATGCTGATGATGCTGATGCTGATGCTGATGCTGATGCTGCTGCTGATGATAATGAAGATGATGGTGATGGTGATGATGGTGATAACCCATCATCATCACCAGCATCATCATCAGCTTCCCAGCAGGTGCAGCCCTCGAACGCCTCGTGCGGGACCGCCCCAGCGGCGGACCCCTCCAGTGGCGGGGCCCCGCGGGCGGCACCACGCTGCGAGAGGCTCCTCGGGAGACCAGGGCTCTCGTGCGCGGGCGGGCCCCCGATGCTGCAGGCAGCGAGCCTCTCTGGCTGCGACCTCGGCGTCCGGGCGCGATCGGCTCAAGTGTGATGGCAAAACCTCAGCTCAAGTGCTGATTTTTTCAATCCATCGATGAAGCATAAAAAACGTGCGTCAACTGTGATAGTTTTTGACCAGCAAAGACTGGAGCTTGTTTGTCACACTTGAGTTGCTGCATCACGCTCGACGCCGGCGGTGTAGAGAGCGGAGCCCACGGCGCGAGGTCCGCACGCGTCAGAGCGCTGGGGAGGCGACGGCCCTGGGGGAGGGCACGCGCCTCCGTGGGAAGAGAGGCCGCACAAGAACACCAACTCTCGGAGGGCCGCGCGGGCTTCTTGGATCTGCGCTGGGTCCCCCCCCAAAACCCCACCCTGGTAGCGCCGAGCGCGCCAGGGGCGGGACCGGAGGCTCCGCCAGGGGGGGGCCAGCGCCAATCCGGGACATCCGCGCGGAGCCCCGACTGTTTCTGCCTATACTGCTCTCCTTTCGTCGATCTCGGAGGCACCGCCCAGGACGCAAGATCCACACGAGAGGTGGGTTCGAGACCTGTGGAAGTCCAGGCTTCGAGCAAGGCAGATTGTGGGAGGCCTCGGTTAGAAAGCAACTCACCGTAGCTTTTGGTCGTCCCCGTGGCGCCCAATAGCGCGTCCAATCGGGCGCAAAGCGGACATGATGCATCTATCCCACATGGCGCTATTGGGCGCTACAGGTCGCGATTGGGCCATGTTGGACGGCTGTTCGGCGCTACCTGGCGCTGTTGGGTGGTACTTGGAGCTATTTGACGCCACTGAGCCCTATTGGGCGCCGTTCGCCCATCTACACTCAATCCAAGACGGCTTCCGTGATTTACTTCTCTACGTTGAGGCCTCCTAGATGGTGTCGGAGTAGATGGGGTCGGAGGATCGCGCCGCAGCGCCGATACATCGGCGATGCATCGGCGATGCATCGGCGATGTATTGGCGATGCAACGGCGATGTATTGGCGATGCAACGGCGATGCATCGTCGATGTCGGCGATGCATCGGCGACGTCGACGTGACGCAAATCGGGCTCCGCATCGAGCCTTCGTCGTTGCATCGGCGATGCGGAGCGATCCTCGACCCCATCTACTCTTAGGTCGGGCCTGTCCCCCTACAGAGCATTTGGACGAAAAAAAAAAAGAAATCCCCCCCCAAAACTCCCAAATGGTCAAAGATAGTTGGAAAAAGCGTCCCCTGACCATTTTTTGAACTACTTTAGAATACTCCTCCTGTAGAGGGACAGGCCCGACTTAGATCTGACCTCGGCCCTGTGGGAGAGGGCGCGCGTCTTGCAGCGGCACGCGGCGGGCCGGGGCCTGGCTGGAGGCCCTGCGGGAAGCCTGGCTGGGAGGCGCCGACGACATGCTCAGCACCTGGCGGGGGCGGGGCGGCCGACCCCCGACTGCGAGGCGGGGGCTCATCCAGATCCACCGCCTGGGGGCCGACGTCCTGGTGCCCCAGCGGGCGATGGATATGGACCATGATATGGACACGTTTTGGCCCCAGGGGGGACGAAGATATATGTGTGTGTATATATATGTATATATACATGTGTATATCTATATATATATATATGTGTGTGTGTGCAGATGCGCCGCCTGTGGAGGTCCGCGAAAATCGGAAACCCCCAGGCGGTGGTTATGGATAAGCCTCCGCCGCGGACAGACCTCCGACGCCCTGGAGACGACGGCAGCGGAGGCCAAGCGCCACTCTCGGCGTGGGGAGGCCCTCGCCGGGCCCCGGGGGCCGTCCGAAGACTGGAGGAAGAAAGAGCGGCATAAAACATAAACTTCTGGGCACTCCGCGCGGAGTTCTCGGATCCGCGCTGGGCCCCCCTCCCTGGCGCGCTCCGCGCGCCAGGGGCGGCGCTGGAGGCGCCGCCACGGGGGGGGGGCCACAGCGACATCCGCGCGGAGCGTCGAACATTTTTATGTTTACTGTGCTTTTCTTCCTCGAAGACCGGCTCGGGATGAAACGCCGGGGCGAAGCTCACGAGAGAAACGGGTCGAGGGATAGGTCGCTTCGCAAGACCGTCGGCGGTCCAACCTCGCCCTGCAGACCTCTCGCTCGTTCGCAGCTTCGGTTGGCAGCGAGGCGACAGGCGGAAGTAACGTTTCAGTGCCCTCGCACGCTTCGCGATCCGCTGAGCAAGGCTGCCGCCGTACTGGAGCACTGTACACTTAACTCACTCGGGGAAGACTCCACTGTACACGCTAGATCCGCGAGCGGCGCGCGAGCAGTGCTGCGCAAGGCACTCTGGCGGCCGCCGGCCACGGCGCCGCACTCGCCCGACGTGCGATTACATCTGGTTGCGGTAAATCGACTCGATGTGCTTCACGAACGGCTCTGGGTGCTGAAGGCCGCGCCTGACAGATGTGTCGCCCAGCCAGAGTGACTTGCCGGGCTGCGTGGCGAAAACCAGCGTGTCGGGCGCCTGTGCACGGACATGGTCTTCGAAAGAAGCAAAGTCGAGGCCGTTGACGCCACCGTTCAAGCTCATGAAGCCCAGATGCGAGGCGATCTGCGCGAGTGCTGCTGCGTCTACGAAGTCGTTGTGCCGGCCGCCGAAATAGTCCGTCGACTTGTAGGAGCCGAGGGTCAGTGCCGCCACCAGCGGTGCGCTGGAGACTACCCTCAGCAGCAGCGGCAGCGACGCGTCGGTGAGGCCGTTGGAGCCAAACTCCAGACGCCGCAGCGAGGGGTGGCCGACCAGAGCCTCGAGCACGGGAGCGGCGCCGGCGTCGCCCAGCAGGTTCACGCCAAGGAACAGGGACTCCAGCGAGGGCAGCAGGCGCACGACCTCCGCCGCGCATGCGCCGTCGGTGATGTCGTTCACCGACCTTAGCCGCCCCGATATGCAACACGCAGCCCGTAGCGTGTTGACACGGAGCTCAACACGTAGATTCACACCGTAGGTCTGGCGCGATACATTCGCACAAACGTGGGCCAACACGCGCCGAGTCAACACGCAGCGTGTCAACGCGGAAGTGTTGCACACGGTACGTGCTGCGTTTCAAAACGAGCGTATCAGGGCAGCTGAGTCACCGACAGGTAGAGGTGCTTCAGCGAGCGCGAGCCACCGTGCGCGGCCAGGCCGTCGCGGAAGGCGCGCAGGCCCGAGTCGCACAGGCCCGTGTTGAAGAGGTCGAGCAGCTCGAGGCCCGAGTGCAGCGCCGCCAGTCTGCCGAAGTGGCGCGCCCCCGCCTTCACGGGGTTCATCTTCAGCCACAGGGCCTTCGTGCGCGAGGCGAGCAGGAACGCCTCTGCGATCGGGGCCGAGAGCTCCGCGTCGATGGCGTTGCCCGCCAGGTACCACGTCTCGATCTGTGGGTCGGAGCGCAGCAGCCGCTCCAGCGCCGCCAGGCGCAGGGCGAGCTCCTCGACGGTGCCGTCGCGGAAGACGACGTTGTTGCCCAGCAGGAAGTGCCTCACGGCGCACGACCTCTGCACCGAGCCGCACAGCTCCTCGAAGCGCGGCCGTATCGCCTGCTTGCAGAGGTCCATGCGGCCGTCCGGGAACAGGGTGCCCCTCTCGAAGCGCCGAGGGTGGCCGATCCTGGGGAGACCAAAAGGTACCGATACCGCGACCCTCCGGACCTCTCCTGGGGTGGGTTCTGACCAGGCTCTCGAGGCGAACCCAGCGGTGGCGACGAGGGCCTCCGAGGAGGCCCAACAAGGGAGGACGAGGGAAGGGTGGAGGCATGGGTATACCTGTTCCTCCTCGGAGATCCAGCCCGACGTGGGCAGGCCCCTCAGCTCCTGCAGGAAGGCGTCAAAGCACGCCGGGCCGGGGACGGCCACGGGCAGCGCCTCCGGGAAGGCGACCGCCTGCCGCGGCAGGGCGCAGGTCTTCGGCGCGGCGCGCCGCAGGTCCTCGCGCGCCGCCTCCCGGCGCGCCTCGTGCGCCCTGCGCAGCCTGTGCAGGAGGCCGTCGAACCTCTGGTGGGCGGAGCAGCCCTCGGACTCGGGGAAGAAGCGCTGTGCTAAGGCCTTGGCGAGCTCGCCACCCGTGCCGCGGTGGGTCTTCGGTACGCGCACGCAGAGGTCGGAGAAGGGCAGGCCCGACTCGAAGTCCGCGATATCTTTTGCAAGCTGGCCGTACAGCTCGTCCGCGTCGAGGGCGACAGAGCCCTGGGAGCGGTATCGACGGATGGGATGCCGCAAGGCAAGCGTCGAGAGCTCCTCCACTTCTGCGGACGACAACAAAGAGGGCAACTGGGGCTCCAAGTTCTCGCGCAAGTGCTGCAAATTCGCCGTCGAGAAGCACACGTCTGCTCCGCGGGCGAGGCAGAAGGCGATGGCAACCTGCGCCGCAGTGGCCGGCTGCCGCCTGGCCGCAAACTCAGCCAGGTGCCCGTTGGCAGACATCACGGAGTGCGCCTCGAAGCGGATACCGTGCTGCCTGCAGATGTCGGGGACTGGGGTATGGATGCACGGGTGCAGCTCGTTCTGCACCACGTCTGGCTTCAGGTCGCAGTGCGCGAGAAGCTCCTGGAGCTTCTCGGCAGAGTAGTTGCAGACGCCGATTTCGGCCACGCGGCCCGCGGCCCTGGCGGCCTCCAAGACCCTCCAGTCCGCCAACGGCATCGGGCGGTGCAGCAGCACGCGGTGCAGCGAGGTGGGGAAGAGCGACTCGATGTCTGATCCGGCGACCTCCGCTTGCTGGAGGTGATTCGGTGCGTGAGATGGTTGGCCGTGCCCCTCTAGAGGAAAAAGAACTATGCACATGCACCGATTCTGGCCAGGCCCATCCTGAGCCCAGGATCGGTGCATACGCCCTCCTACCTTGGCCAGGAAGGCATATGCACCGATCCTGGGTCAAAGATGGGCCTTACCAGGACCGGTGCATGTGCATAGTTCTCTTCGCCCGACCCTCCTCCTGTTCCTCGGAGGAGGAACAAGTACCCATACCGCTACCTGTCGCCCGTTTTCCCGGATTTGGGCCTCCCGAGAGGCCCTCATCGCCACCGCTGGATTCGCTTCGAAACTCTGATCAGAAAGTAACCCGAGAGATGTCCGGGGAGTAGCGGTTTTTGGTACCCTTTTGTTTCCCTGGTTCCGCCCCCAGGGGGACCAACATCGAGGCTGGTGGGTGGGGAGGCATGGGGAATGGCTCCTACAAACCTTCAGGAAGACTCGAGGAGGCTCCCAGGAACACCCCGAAATCCCACTAGCCCTCTGAGCGGAGGTGGTCCAGCACGCTTCTTCTTCCAACCCTCCCCTTCCCCTTCCCCCTGGGTCTTGGACGTAGGGGGGCCCGAAACGTTGTAGCGTCCAAAATGGCCCAAGATGGCCCAAGATCGCCCCAAGATGCCTAAGAAGGCTCACGATGACATCTAAGATGGAACAGCCCCAAGATCCCGCCAAGACGGCCCCGAGTGTCCATGGAGCCTCACAAGCATGCCCCCAAGCCGTCACACTCCTTCCAAAACCCAAGGAAACATATTGTGATTCGTGTCTTCTTGTCGTTTCGTTTCCCATGGGGGCTTGAGGCCTCAAGATGGTTCCAAGATGACCAAGGAGAGCTCTAAGAGGGCCCAAGAGGGCTCCAAGCTCCGAGACGGCCTCAGGAACACCCCAGGAGGGCCCTAGAATGCGATGTGTTGGGCTCTAGAGGGTCGGCGCTGCTAGGGGGGCCCTCCCTTATTTGATCGATGCCCTCCAGGATGGCCCCAAGAGGCTCCCGAAAGGACCCAAAGAGGGCTCCACGAGGGCCCCACGAGAGCCTCGAAGGCCTCCAACGCGACCCCAAGAGGGCCCCAGGATGGAGTGAGTGAGCTGCCAAGGGGCTCCCATATCGAAAGGTCTGAGACGGCAGTTATGGTTGATTCCTGGGTCTGCTCAGCTGATCGTGCCCCTCCTATGTGCTCCACTGCTTGCTCCTACACTTTCTTGATCAACGCAACTCGCCTGGGCATCGATTCTGGATGGGCTGGTGGGGATACGTGCGCGAAGCGTCCAGAATCCCACAAGCCCTTCAGGATGTAGGTGGTGCAGCCCCCTCTCCCTGGGTCTGCAGGGGGGCGTCCAAGATTGCCCAAGATCGCCCTCCAAAACGACTTGACGCGACAGATACAAGATGGCTCGAGATGGCCTCCGAAATGCCTCCAAAACGCCCCAAGACCGCTGCAGGACGGGTCCAAGTGGCCACGGAGCCTCCTCGATACGCCCCCACGAAGCCAAACCCCATCCAAAACCTAAGGACAATCAATGATCGTGGCCTTCGCGCCCGTTCGCCTCCGATGGCCCTCGGAGGCCTGAAGATGATATCAAAAGGGCCCAGGAGAGACCCAAAAGGGGCCAACGAGGGCCCCAATACTGCCGCAAGAGCGCTTAATAGCGCCCCAAGAGAGCCCCAAAATGTGATCTTAGGGGCTCTAGAGGGGCAGCGCTAATTAAGGACATCCCCCTTTCGTTGGTAACTGTCGTCCAAGATGGCCCCAAGAGGGCCTCCGAAGCCCCCGAAGGCGGTCCCAAAAAGGCCCCAAGACGGCCCCCAAGAGGCCCCCCAAGAGGGACCACAGAGGCCCCCAAGAGGGGCCCAAGGAGGCCCCAAGACGCCCCCAGGAGCTCCCAAGAGGCCCCCAAGACGTTCCAAGGGGCCACCAAGGGCCCTCCTCTCCGTCCAGGAGACATCCAACACGAAACCGAGAGGCATCCAAGAGGCATCTGGTTCACTGAGACTCCTGGTTCGCTGAGGCTCCCCGTGGTGGCCACATGGTGCCACGCTCCTACGATACGAGCAGCTCCCCGGGGCATCGCTCCTGGATGGGCTGGTGGGGATGCGCGAAGCGCTCAGAATCAATCACTACTGAGTACTGAGGGCTTCAATTCCCAAGGGGGCCCCGAGCCCAGGGTCCTCAAAGGCCAAGAGAGGGCCCCAAAGCGGACGGACCGCCAAGAGACGTCTACATCGAGTGCAGGCATTGTTCGGGAAAGGACCGACTATGATAGCAGGAAAGGTCTGAACCGAACTGGTAACCGGGAACCGGCGGCCGAACGAACCGAACCGCGCGAACCGGACTCCAAACCGAACCGGTCAGAACCGGACCGGCCGCGTCGAACCGAACTGGCGAGGCGAAACCGGCCCGGGCGCCCAAACCGAACCGGCTGGAACCGAACCGGCCCCCCAGGCAAACCCCTGGACACCCTCGGACCCCTTGGAGACCCGCGGAACCCTCGAAGACCCTCGGGGTCCTCTTCCTCCTCCTCCGCCTCCTCCCTCCTTCTTCCTCCTCCTCCTCCTCCTCCGCTCCCTCCTCCGTCCTACCTCCTCCTCCTCCCTTCCTCCTCCTCCTCCTCCTCCTCCTCCGTCCTTCCTCCTCCTCCGCCTCCTCCTCTGCCTCCTCCTCCTCCTCCTCCTCCTCCCCTGGCGACGGCGCCGTCGATGGCACCTGGCGGGCGGCGCGCGCGACGCAAGGAACGACGGCGACGGCGACGGCGACGGCGACGGCGACGACGACGGCGGCGGCGGCGGCGGCGACGACGACGACGACGACGACGACGACGACCGGGAGGGGGCGGGGAGGGGTCGGGCGCGCGGCGGACCGCGGGAGGGCGGGCCCCATCGGCGGCCCCCCCGCGCGAGGGCAGGGGGCCGCCTCCGGGGTACCCGGGTTCCCGCGGGAACCACCCCACAAGCAGTCCACCCGCCACCCCCCCCGTGGCCGGGGACCCCCCCCGTGGCCGGGGCCACCCCCCCCGTGTCCCCGGCCCCCCCCCCATGGCCGGGCCCCCCCCTCCCCGTGGCCCCCCACGGCGTTGGCCGAATCCCCTGGCGGAGGAGGGGGGGGGAGGGAGGGAGGAGAGGGGAGGAGGAGGAAAGAAGGATGAGGAGTATGAGGGAGGAAGGAGGGGGTCGAGGCCACCCACCCCGTGGGCGGGGCCACCCCCCCGTGGCCGGGCCCCCCCCGCCGTGGCCGGGGGCCGCCCCCCGTGCCGGGGCCGCCCCCCCCGTGGCCGGGCCCCCCCCCCCCGTGGCCGGCCCCCCCCTTTCGGGCCCCTCGGGGCTCCCTCGGAGGCTCCCTCGGAAGCCGAGGCTCAGGGCGGCCCGACGAGGAAGGCACCCCACCCAGGAATGCCCAAGTGCACAAGATGGCCTGATTTTGCCAGGGCTGCTTTAGCCGAGTCCCCTGGCGGAGGAGGCGAGGTGGGGAGGAGGGAGGAGGAGGGGGAGGGGGAAGGGAGGATGAGGGGGAGGAGAAAAGAGGAGGAAGGAGATGAGGAGGAGGGAGGGGGCGGGAGGGAGGGAGGATGGAGGGGGAGGGAGGAGGGAGGGAGGAGGAGGAGGAGGGAGGGGGAAGGAGGGGGGAGGAGGAGGGAGGAGGAGGGAGGAGGGAGGGAGAGGAGGAGGAGGGAGGGGGAAGGAGGATGGAGGAGGAGGGAGGAGGGAGGAGGAGGAGGAGGGAGGTTGCTACTGCAGTTCCGGCTTCGGTTGCGCGCGCCCGCGGGCGGGTTGAAATGTGCCCCCAGGTTGCGGTTGCGGTTGCGGTTGCGCGCGCCCGCGGGCGGGTTGAAACGTGTCCTCCGGTTGCGGTTGCGGTTGCGGTTGCGTCGCCTGGGCGGTTTGAAATGTGTTGTCAGAATTGCCTCCTGACTGACGTTCAGTTCAGTCAGCACCGGCGGGCACTGAATTACACCCGGTTCCGCCAGGAATAAGTCGGAGGCGGGCGGGGGTCTGAGCTGGTTGGAACCCCCGAAAATCTGTCAAGAGAGGGGGGTTAAGGGCAAAATCGGCTCAAAATCGGGGTCCGCCTGGGTCCGTTTTGCACCCCAGATCCGATCCTGGAGATCCCGAAAAACCGAGCGCTGGGAAGACATACGGCCACAGGTGTGTCCTTCTCCCTCCTCCTCCCTCCTCCTCCCTCCCTCCTCCCTCCCTCGTCCTCCTCCCTCCCTCCTCCCTCCCTCCTCCTCGCCCCTCCTCCTCCTCCTCCTCCTCCTCCTCCTCCTCCTCCTCGCCCTCCTCCTCCCCCGAGCGGTAGCGACAGCAGCGGCGGCGTTTCGCGCGTTCCTGCGTTTCGGCCCCCCGCCAGGACCCTCGTCGCCACGACTGGATCCGCCGCGGAACCATTGTCAGAACGCGCGCCAAGAGAGGTCGGGACGACGACCAGCGGCGACGACGGCGGCGGCGGGGGGCGAAGCACCGCGCTGACGCGGCTCACGGTGTCGAGCCCCGCCGGGAAGCCAGGGGCGGCGCGCCGCCGGGTCGCCGTCGTCGTCGTCGTCGTCGCCCCCCTCCCCCTCCTCCTCCTCCTCCTCCTCCTCCTCCTCTTCCTCCTCCTCCTTTGGCCTCGGGCCTCGGGCCTCGAGCCTCCGAGGGAGCCCGAAAGCGGGGCCACGGGGGGGGTGGCCCCGGCCACGGGGGGGGGGGCCCCGGCCACGGGGGGGGTGGCCGGGGCCACGGGGGGGGTGGCGCTGGCCGCCTCCTCGCTTTTTGTTCAACG